AGTAGAAAATTTGAAAATTAATACAAAAACATTACAAAAATACACTACAATTTATTAAGTTGGTTTATAATTTTTTAAAACGATGATTTCTGATCCTTTCCAATAATATTTTTTATTTTTTAAAAAAAAAATTACATGATGTAATAGGATTGGTTTTCATAGTTCAGTTCGTACGTCATAAAAAATCGTTTTAATTAAGAAATTTGAATTTTATTTACATAATTTTTGATTATAAATCTTTTCTGAGTGTATTTTTAATTTTTCATTATTTTTGTTTTTGTGTGCTCAACATTAATATTTATAAAGTCGACCACACCAATGCATAAACAGTTTGAATTCATTTTGGAATGAATTATTAAAATACATGGAAACAAACTAAAAAAAAAATTGTTATAAATAGTATTTGTTTTACTTGTGTATTGTGCACGTGTGTGTGTGTGGTTATGTGTGTAGGATTTTTTTGATATTGTATAATAAATTTTCAAGGCTTTTTTTATATGAATTGGAAGAGATTATAAAAAAAATTTGTTTTTTTTTTATTTTAAATTTTATATAGAGATTATTAAACTATAAGACTCTAAAAAGTATTAAAGTAAAATGTAAAAATTTTAATTTAAGTTATGGCTTTTAACACTTCAAAGAGTTTTTATTTGAATATTTTTAAATATTTAAGGCAAAACGAGGAGGATTAAATATTATGCTATTGTTTGTGTACAAAATGCTTTAAAAGTTGGTGTAGATTATTAATTTTGTACAATCTTTAAAAAAATTTTTTTTTTTGACTTTGAAATTTTCGGATAAACAAGAAAAAAATATTGGGAACCATAAAAATGATATGTGGTTTTTTGTAATAATTTTTGTTAGAAGGATTTTCAATTTAATCAAGAGTAGTTCAAATGTGAAGGGCAAACATTGGTCTTAAGTTAATAAAAATATTAAATATAAGATAAAAATTTCAAGTTCATCATAATAAAAATTTATTTGGTTCTGGAAACAAAAAGTGTATTCAAACGAATTGAAAATTTTTAAAGAGTCTGGGACAAGTCCGGGATTTACATGTAAAATCAATATTAATAATTAATTCTCTTCATTACTCTTATAAACCAATATAAGAAATTAATGTTTATTTTTTCATATAATTTTCTAATTTTTCATGGCATAACACCTTAAGAAGGTTAAGGTGTTGATTGCAATTAACTGACTTGGAAGAAATAAAATAAAAATTTTTTTGAGTGTAAGCTCAATATGATTTGGAATTTTGTGACAAGTTACAAAGCGAAAATGGATTATTAACTGACTGCGGAGTATGTATTGACATAGTTGGAAGTCAATATTATTATACCGTACAATACCGTACATAAAAAATAAGTTGAGAAACAAGGATTTCAACATAAGAAGAACTAGTAATGAGTTCGAAAGTTCATTATAGAGAGGGATCCAACATGGATGTTAGTTTGACTGTATAAGTTTTTTTCGGTGCAATTTAACATATTGTATGAGTATGTAAGGGTTAATAAAAAAAAACATAATTTCGCCATTTTAAAATTAAATTATATTCGTGCTACTCAGTAAATATCATAAATATTTTAAGTTTAATTATACAGAATTATAAAAATCAACTCTTGATGAAATTTAATACTTGCTATCGAAATTTTGTTTTATTAATAATCTTTCCGTATACTAGTAATTCGATCTATCAATTTCAATTTACTTTATGCGTACATTTTATATGTAAAAAAATTGCCTCTAATTAACAACTTTTTTTTTTCATTTTTTTTTTAAATTTCAATCAAAAAAGGATTATGAGTATAGTTTTATCACTTAATTAAAAATTGAATGATGAAAATTTTAATTAAAATATAATAATAAGGTTATATTTTAATTTGGATTTTATAAATTTAATACATTTTATAGTACCTGCCTACCTACATATATGTATATGGCAAAAAAAAGTGCAGAATTAATTAGGTCATTGCGTATTAATAAATAAAAAAGATAAATTCGAAAAAATTATAAATCAAATGATAAATCGGATGATAAAAGCCCATACACACACATATTTTGTTTTAGTTTTAATTTCTAAAATTGATGGTTGTGGATTTTGTGATAATAAGGTAGGAAAATGAAAAAAATTTTCAGCTCGTAAATTTTTTTATATTTTATAAAAATTATTACGAAAATTTTGTGTTCTAAGTTTTTTATAATTTGTTTGTGTACTGAACCTATAATTGTAATAGAAAAATAATAGTTTTCTTAAGAAGTACAGCCGATTCATACAACGATACAGCTGTATTTCATACAACGGTTTGGTGCGGCGGCGGTTGTGTGCTAGAAAATAATGTTAGAACACGATCAAATCAAGTCTCAATTAAAATTTCTCATTTATTCCATGAAAATTTCAACATTCTCCCAATAACATCTATAAAATATAAAGCTTCAAAAGTATGCCATTTTTTGAAAACTTCATTCGTAAGAAAGCCATTCACATCCATTGGTGCAATGGTTATGGCACCGGCCCTTTAACCGAAGGGTCTCGGGTTCAAACCCCGGTCAGGTTACTATAAAAATTATATTCAATATTATATAACTTAATATGCAATACTAATAAATATTATACAAGTAATTTTCAAATATTCATAATATTCGATAATATTCGATACTAAAGACTAAGAAAAATAAACAGTAAAGATTATAAACTGAAATATTTAATATAAATAAAAAACTACGGTAGGCTAGTCACCTACCTAGCTAACTCTCTATGACTATAGAAACTAAGGCAGATAGATATTATGCACTAGCCCTATACTCCTCCTAGGAGTGAAGACGGAAACAAAAAAAAAAAAAAGAAAGCAATTAAGCGAATACCCGTAATTTTCCAATATAAGAATTGAAACTTGGGCAGAATATTTTTGCGATTTATATATAATAATGCAGCTATAGACACCGCCAATGTAAGCAACCATAGGACATATTATGGTGTTACGACGTTGTTGTCTTGTTCACAATTCCTATATAGTGAAAACTAATGCGATAGGCATTCGGTAAGAGGATAGTTTTAGTCTAATACTGTTTAACATTATTATGGACGAGATTATTAACACTGTAAATGAGGGGGACGTGGTTATAGAATTGGTGATATCGAACTGAATTTGATTTGCTATGTCGACGACGCAGTACTGATAACAGACATCAAAGATAATCTACAAGATAAGAAAAAATTGAGATCGGTTTGTAAGAAATTAAATCCAATGACTGTTTGAAATTTTAAAATTAAAAAAGTTTTTTAATGAAGTTAAACATACAAGGATTAGTTTGATTGGCTATACTATTCAGATAAAAAGATATTTTGGATATAAAATCTTGGATTAATAGCATAGAAAATATACTGTTGTACAGGATATATATGGAAAGAATTAGGTGAAGGGTCATATTCTTGGCAAGACGGACGAAAATATCATAAGGTCATATTTTTCGCATGAGAACCAGGGCAGACCAAAAAGTGGGTGGTTGGACATGGTATCGGCTGATTAGAGAAGTATGGAACTAATTACACCATTTTGGCGCAAGATCGAAATGAAGAGAATCGGTGCAAAAACTTTGGGCCACAGGCAATTGTTATGCTTAGAAAGAAGAAAGGCAACGTATATATAGCGCAAGAAATATATATAAGAGCACATAATGGGACTTTTTTACAAAAAATATCTCAAAATTGCAATATTTATTCAGTATAGTTCTAAAAATTTACTCAAAAATTTATTTTCTAATTAATACTTGACAATGTTATACATATAGGAATTTCGAAATAATTACAGAGTAAAATTCAAAAGTTTGGAATATAAACAAAAATATTTTTAATTACAAGCATTTAAAATTATTGTTTACAATCATACAAAGTACAATCTGTATATTTAAATTTTTGTAAAACTAGTTATTAAAAATTTAAATTGCAAATTTACAATATTTCATATATATGTGGAAAATTTTTGAATTGCAATTGAATACCAAATTAATCAAATGAATTATGCATTTAATTTTTAATGTTATAAATATACTAATTATTTTCAAAAAATTTGGGTCCATATTTGTTCAAACACTTTAAATTTATAATAGAGTTTGTAATTAAATTGAATGACAAATTAGTCAAATTTAATATAGTCACTGTTATTCAGTATTTTGTCAATTTAAATGTATTAGTATTTGCGTATTTGTAAAAAGGAAGTAATAAAAAATGGTTTTTTCAAAAATTTTCAATTGAAAACCTTCTCCAATTTTTAAAATTTATTCACACAATTATTTCAAAAGTAAAATTTCAATCAATTTAAATGATTTTGATTTGTATAGATGGTACATAAGTAGATGCTTACAATAAAATAACTTTCATTGAAATAGCCTTACAGCTCTTTCAAATGCAAATGATATTGCCGTCAGTAAATACCTATGATATACATAAAAGTATATATACATTTGTGTCGTCATTAAAAGTTATAAGGGTGAGCAAAACGTTAAAATATAAAAAATAAATAAAATTTAATGGGTTTTTTTCTTGCTCTCTCCCTCTAGGTTTCCAGAATCCGAATGGAACAAACAGAATAAATGAAAAATTCAAGGAGAGAAAATGTATTCAAAAAGAGAAGAGAAAATATTTTTGATCATAAAAATTATCATATAAACTATTAAAATTATATTGAAATTGAGTACATATTAAGTTTCAATTATATTTTTTGATATTAACAATTCCGATAAATGCAATAATTTTCAATCATCGATATTACAATAAAAAGAATCGATTAAAACCAAATTTTTATAGTTTTTCTTAACAAAAAATTAAAAAGAGAGTAAAAACTTTTATGGTTGTACTCCTTTTTTTTTTTTTTTGCTCATTTTAAACTCAAATCTCTCTTTAATTTTTTAAGTCAAAAAAAAAAACGGGGGGTGGGGGGGGGGGGGTATATACGATAAAGACGATAAAAAATGCAGACAAATAAAATTTTGTAACTTACCATCATGGGAATCATATAAATAAATTATTTTTCTCCATCCATAAAATTGAATCGTATCGATAATAGCTTGATGATAATCCGGTCTCATGCTAATAGCATAATCGAGAAATCCTGATGATGGTGTCAATACCTATACACACACATAACAAAGTAAATTTCAATATAAAAACAAAGAAATTAAATTTTTATTTCAAAAACTTTTTATTTATTAATTTAATTTGAAAATTGTACAATAAATAAAAGGTAAAAGGAAAAATATTAAATACGTAAATAAAATTTTTGAAATACTCAAAATTTAATAAAAATTGAAGGAAAAAGTACAGAAACAAAAGAACGAAAATTCAAAAACGAAAATAATTTTCTTTATTAATAACTTAAAATTTAGTGTAAAACTTTCTTTGTAAATATCTCGGCATCAATATTATATAAGAGAGGCGAATAGAGTGTATGTACAAGAGCATTAAAAAAAACAAAACAAAAATGTTGAACTTAAAAAAAAATTTAATTAAATTTTATGAGAATCGAATATCCTTTTTATTTCAATATCGAATTGAGGATTTTATTTTTTAATTTTAATTCTTTTCCTTTTCCGGTTCATTTTCAATTCAATATTCAAATAATATAAAAATTGCAAAATTTCACATACATTATATACATACATACATAATACAGAGTGTTTGGAAAAAAGTAGATGTTCCTTTTTAAATGATTATGGAACTTAGAAAGAATCATTGAGGAGGCGGTCGGAGCGTTGCAGAAGTTTTCTAGGGTTGCGGCAGACCAAGGAGCTTTTGGGTGATTATGATTAAAAGCGGTTCAAGAAATTTAGATATGGGCAAGAATCTGTTGAAAATTCTTACTGGGGCTTGTTGGGTTACAGCAAACGTAGAGGGTAGTCCATAAGGTTGGGCTTGGAAAACGAAGACTCTTGCAGATTCTGTGGAAAAGATGAGTACACCTTCTGGAAGAGTGTGATCCACTCGATCATAGGAGAAGAAAAATACTGAGAGACCTCAATCTCATAGCAGCGGAGTTGCGAGTTTTAGGGTCTCACAAGTTCTCGAGTTCATTAGAGCGGTGGATTTCTAATGGGTGTTGTAGGGGCATTTTCTACATTCAGCGGGCCGTGACACAATAAATTCTTATACATGGTCGCCATAATAAGCCAAATTAATATAGCCTTTTATATTATAACCTTACATTGATCACGAGCGAAATTTTTAAAAATTGTGCGAAATTTTAGTTATGAAATTTTCGTTTGCCTGTTCATGGAGTACTGACCATTGCATTAAGAGCCCTTTGAATTTTTGAAAATTTAAATTGTTAGATTTTTTTTAATTGCTTCTATTTGAATTAAACTATACCACTCTGTGAATAAAAATAAAGGACATATTTATAAACCTATATGCAAGTATTTTCGTTGAAATAAAAGGAATGCATAAAGTGGCAACAAATAAAAGGTAAAAAGAAAAAAAAAAAAAATAATCAAAAAAATACTTAAAAAAATTTTTTTTTTTTATATATTTTTTAATGCTTACCTTCTCCGGGAACCATGGAGTTACAAATGGCATTTGAAAGGTGTTACTATACGAATGTAATGTATCAAATGAATCAGGTGAAACGGCGCCCAACATCGAGTAAACGCCACGGGAGAATTGGTTACAAACTGGAAAATAAAATTTAATTTTTTTTTATTATTTTCATTTCGTTAACATTTTGTGGTGATTTTTAATTTTTTTTTCTTATTATTTTATATTGCTTTAAAAAGTATACCAGAAAACAAAATGTGGATTAAACAATCAAACAATGCATATAAGAGATTAAAGGTATACATTCAAGGATGAATAAAGAATATCCTTTTTGTTTTTCGGCGGAATACTTTTGTAACATTTTATTTTTATCGTTTGTACTACTTGTATGTTTGCTTTTAATGCATTTTTATTTTATATTGCTTTATTTTTGCAATTTTCATTGTTTTATTTAATAATTTACGTTTATTTTTTGATCAATAATCTATAAATAATAAATACATAATATGTTTAAATATAAAAGAGTAAATAATGGTCACCAAACTTACACACAACACACACGTACATTTGTAAAATATTTTTTTTAATTGGTGAACAGGAAATAATTTTAAAATTGTATAATGGCGTCTCTTAGCAGGCACAATTCAATTCAATTTAATATTCTAATAATAAAATATTCTATTTTAATAATTTAAAAATGAGAGAATGTTAAATTTTGTTCTTGTCATATTTTTAATAAATTGAAGTTAAAATTGAATGTTTAATTATGGAATTGAAAATTTATTAATCGCCAAACTGGCGTGTATTCTTTTTGTTTTCACTATTAGAATTTTAATATTTTTAGATTAAAGAACGCCCTAGATTACATTTTCTATAGTGCAATGTTTAAATTACACCTGCATAGTTAAGAGTTTGATATTTCATATTTGAACTTGTTTCTCTATCTCGGTCTTTACTAAAAAATTCAAAATTTCCAAAATATACGTAAGATCTCACTCATATTAAAATAAAATGTAAAAATTTTTTGATTATTTTTCATTACAGGCTTTTAAAATCTTGATTGACAAAGAATGTTTATGAAAAATAAGACTAAATACGTTTATAGGAGATGCCGTATAGTTTATGGAAGATGCTGTATCGGCTATGGGAGATATAGTATCGAATGATAAAAGAATATTATTTAATTTAGGCTGTTCTTTCAATGAGTTTCAAAACTACTGCTGTATCAGGTTCATCAACACAAATATCGATGGGGATTTTCCCAATTATCTCAAGGGCAAAATTTTCAGGAGTAGGTTTTCTGGGTCGCGAGTGGTTAACATTTGTTGCAACTCATGCCGCAAGAGGCATTTGTCCTTCTTTGGCATGATTGCTTCGCTTTGAAATGATCTCTCTATCACCATAAGATGTGACAGTCACTGGCGTTCAAATAGGAAAATATAGTACGCGGATTAGCCTAGGAGAGCACAAAGTATAATTTGTTTTTTAATAGCTTCAGAACTTCACGACTTTCTTATATGATTATTTTACATGAATTTCACATTTAATGTAAGTAGTGGCCCTATTCTGAAATTTATGTTTTTTATTAAAGAAAAATGTTGTGCATCTTTTAAATCACAAGTGTGCTGAAAAATTAAATTGATTTATTTTCACAATGGGTTAAAAATATTCCGATATTTCATGTTCTAATTTTGCATGTGTATTCGAATAAAATTTAGTTTTTCATTTTATTTACAAAATTTTCTGTATCGTTGTTTATTTTTCGAAATCATTTCAAGTGAAAAATTAGTTTGTATAAAATTGTGCGTAAATTTAAACTTCAACACAAGAAAGTATACACACACACATACATAGAGTGTATATAATGTAAATATAAATTGTATTTTATTTGAGTAAATCAAATAAAATATTAAAATTTTTCTTTTATTGTTTCATTCTTGTAATTTTTTTGTATTATATTATGTATGTACTTGAAATTATTGTTTCAAAAAATTAAATAGCAAATAAATCATTAAATTGTTTTATTTACAAAATAAATAGGCACACAGCAAACATTTTATATAGAGAACAATATGATAATCGTATCTACTTTATGTTTACATTGTTAATAATTTCGAATTTGTATAGAAAATAAGGAGCTGCTTAAAACTTTTAGCAAACAAAATATAATTTGTAAAATTGTAGCATAGCTATTGTGTGTAATTTATATTAATTTTAAAGTTATGCAAACACGTACTTAACCTATTTTATATGAAAAGGGTTTTGTTTGTTAGTTCAAAATTAATTTATGCATAAGTATGTCTGTATTACATAATATACATAAATTATATATGAGAATATTGTAAATTTCATATACATAATTAAGGTACACACAAATATATATGTAAATATTTTAATAGAAATTCATACTTATTTAATTAAAAGTAAAACATTGTGTTGATCGGGGAGGGGGAGGAGGAAATATTTATTTTTTTTTTTAATTTATACAATAAGTAATTTATCCATTGTTGTTCCTTTGTAATAAAATCGGAGTTTAAAATTTTTTACTTTTGTTCCATTTATCTGTGGGATACATAAGTATAGTTGGGGAATTCACAGTCAGTGTAATTATGAGAATTCTTTAACTCATTATTTCCTACAATACTGCAAATGGAATATAAGCATAACTGGCACTTAACGACACGGCAATTCATGCATTACAGAATATGGACCAATATGAATACAATGGGAGAGAATAGGTTAAATTGAAGACAATTCATATTTAGCATTCAATTTCTTTTTAAATCAAATTGAGAAATTAAAAATTTAAGAGACAAGAGAAAGTTAGATTTCTATTAAAAATTTATAAAATAAATTTCATTTAAATTTTCTCGCTATTTAATATTGAGGAACCACGTTAAATAAAATAGCAATATATGTAGGGGAGTGTCCTGTGAACACCAGCATAATGATGATGCAGAAAATGTAATTTAAGAATCTATAATTAGGCATTTTTTTTTCATAAATATACAAGTGTTGTATAATTTATTTAAGAAAATCAAAAATTCAAGAAAATTTGTGAAAAACACACCATTGCGGGAGGGGAACGCATAGGAATTTTAATTTTTGATTAATGTTGTTCGTTTATTACAAGCTACATGATACTTTAGAATTCAATTATTATAAAAAGATTTATAAATTTTTTTTTACAATTTTTTACATTTATAATATATTAAGGTGTATACATGTGTATATTATGTATATTAGAAAAGGTATATTGTATTTCGAATTTCAATTATAATATTAGGGAATATTTTATGTTAATTTAGAAATACTTTCAAGTTTTTCAACCAATTCTCTTTGCTCTCATATTCGTACAGATGTTTACAGAAAAGATTTTCTAATATAATACTTGACAATTGAGAGAGGAAAGTGAGAGTTATGTTGAGTTTTTTTAGTAAAATATACTAAGGACTAACGATTATGGCTTTTCCTGTTCATACTTTTACTAATTCACCTTATTTCATATTTGACTTACACCATTTAAATTTGAAAAGTAGTGAACTGGTGATAAATCGAATATTTTCGTAAATAATCGGTAATTTTCGTATTTATTTGACAATTTCGATATTAATTCGGCAAATTTTGGTGTTAACTCAATAATTTTTGCACTAAGTCGCCAGTTTTTGTTATTCTTTGAATATCGCGAACGAAGAGCCATTTCTGTTTTTTCTCAATTTAAATTTTAAACATAATTTAAGAACAAGTCATGCTAATTCCAAAATGTTGATAATATTGCGTTTTTTGCTCTTATACAAAATGTGAAAATAATTTTACTATAGTATCTTAAAGTTGATGTTGTCAACTATATTAAGAAATTTTCTTTTATTAAAAACTTTAATAAAATATTTCATAATTTGCCATTTTTACACACATAATTTTTGAGTCCTTAAAAATTACATAGTTTTTGTAGTGTGGTGGCAGTGAAAAATGGAGTCTACATCATGGAAATTTTTTGCAATGCATAAAAAATTCACATATTTTAAATAAATTTTTCTGAATTATTATGAAAATTTAATTTTTGAAATGTTTTTAAAATTACAAGAAAAAACCGAAAAAAAAAATCGAAACACTTCAGGAGATTTTAAATTTTTTTTCTCGTATTTTCACAAAATTAGAAATTAGGCAACCATTATTCAACACTAATGATTTTTCATTTAATAAATTTTGTGTTCATTAAAACTGAATATTATTGTGTACTTTAATTGTGTGGTGGAGGTAGTGGTGGGTTGGTAGCTGTTTTGTATTATAAAACAAGAATGAAGAGAGTGGAGAAACAATGATGATTTGATGAATATTTATTTCACAAGTGAGAGCATACTCTATTTTTACATAACACATAATTGTGCTGAAGACAAAGAAAAGAGAAATAGTAACTGAATTTTTCATTTTTGTTTGTACTTTTGTGTTTATTTTAAATTGTCAGAATTAAATTATTCTCTAAATATAGAAGATCTCAGTACAGACTTACGTGTATATATATATATATACATTTGTAGGTAGCATTTATTTAAATGTGTGTTTACATTAAAATTTAAATATTAAAGAAAATTATCAAATTAGAAATTCGTAAAAAAAATCCTTTATTTTTTTCTTTCAATGCCTCTCTTTCTCTCTTTCACTCTCTCTCTCGCTCGCTCTTTATTTAAAATTTTGTATAATCTTTTAAATGAAAAATTCTTATTTTAAAAGTAAATAAAATTAAATAGAAATTAAATTTTATGAAAATATAAAATGTACCTATGTATGTATATAAGGGTCTATGTATAATCTATACATAATTATAGACAAAACGGGAATAAGATGGAAAACTTTCGAATCACTTATTAACAAATTATATAAAAATAACAAAAAAAAAAGAAAAATTTAAATTGCCGCGATCTATAAAAGAATAAAATTTATTTTAAAGTTGAGATAGAAAAAAAAAATAGGAAAAAACCAGAAAAGTTTTTAATAAAATTCTAATCAAAATAATTATTTTTAAAATATAAGAAAATTTCATTTTCTATATAATTGCGTAATACTTGTACATTTTTATTTGAATAAATCCTTATTTTATTATTAGGTTCAAGGATAAAAGAGAAAATCTTTTTCGTCT